TATATATATATATATATATATATATATATCTTCATAAGATCTGTGCCGCAAGTCATGGCCTGTTAGTTGGCGGGGTTCACTGTAAGTCCCCTCAGGTAATGGGATCGACCTCAGTGGAGCTGGGTTCTCAAATATTTAGGCGCATGATGTATCACTGTAAGTCCCCTCAAGTCACGGGTTCAATCCCCAGTGGCGATGAGTTTTCAAATATTTAGGCACATGGCGCAAGCTCTCATCATGGGGCCTAGCGCATGAAAAATCAGTATTTGGGCATCTGTCAAATGCATGAGAAATCGATATTTGGGCCTCTGTCAAATATTGATTTCCTTTCCAAAAAAAAAAAAACCTTCATAAGATCATATGATGATTATGCATACAATTTTTGCATCCACTCCTATCCTAGTCCATTCTTTGATGTTGATGAACCATTTTATATGCCTGTTTGTCACACTTTAAAGTTTTAAAAACTTCTATGAATTCTAGAAGTTTAGGCTTGTATGTTGCTTGGACCAGTTAGAAAATCTGCACCATGCTTTGAGTTGATTTATGAAGAACCCAGTTTTGTAGATGAAACTGTGATGATGATACTCAAGCATTAGTAGTTGAATCTCCTGATGAACCTAATGCTAAGGTTGCGCCTGAGTTATTTATATTCCTAAATCGGAGATCATATCTAAACATGATATTGATCAGATACCTTCTGTTGAGATGAAGACATAAGATACATATTTCAGTACTTTTTCCAGATTATAATCTGTATATGTAGGTTAATCCACTTGTTTGAACATGTTATTGTTTGTTTTCTATCAAAAAGTATAGGCTGAGCTCACAAAGTTAACGTTGGGTATTGGGATTTCTATGTTATTTATCAAATAAAGCTATATGAAGCAAGTGGATGCTTGAAACCAAACCTCTAATATATCCTTCCAATGTTTTGATAGCCTATGTTGAAGATTTTAAACTATCCTCCACCTTAGAAATCAGATTCATAAGAAAGAGGACTGTGCAACTCTTTTGGACGAGTTTTTATTACGCCAAGTGGAATTAATGCAGTATGATCAATTATTTTATCTTACTGTAGTGTTTATTTCAATTTTATTAGAATTTTTGGATTTAGTTGCATGAGTTATCATTTTGAATAATTGTTGGTATAAATTTAACTGATTTAGGATTAGTTTTATTAGGCCCAGTCAAAAACCATTTGTATGGTTCCTTCATTAGGTGGTTGAAAAACTTATATATGTTACGGAATAACTTGAATTTATGTCCCCTTGAGGATCAAACATATGATTTGTTGTAAAATTTCCCTTGTATAAAGTGCAACATAGGAAGAAACTTATGTGTAATAGGTACAAATTCTAGTATGAATAAAGGTAAATTTTATAAGTAAAGTCATTCATTTTAGGAATATAGCATAGGTGACAATAAAACTAGATCATGATCATCTCTTGAATTTTCAAAATATGCAATATGAATATAAAAAATAAAACTCGGGGGCTTCATATCTAGATATTACTACACATTATTTATTTTTATTTGATCGAAACTATAAAGGATCCTAGAATCACATTTTGATGCGGTAAATGCTAACACTAACTTAACCTATTTGTTTTGAGATGAAGCAGACACCAATTTTGAATTTAATGAAACAATTTATTTATTTGGAGAAGAATATTATGAAAATATCATAATCTATTTACCTACCTCTTCCTTCATCTCAATAATAATATTAATAAAGGATATCACAATATTAAGGTTAAGCTTTGTGAGATTCTTGGTCACCATCATTAAATTTATTTGTAGAATATGGATCATTATAATACTAAAACATTGTAGAATAACTCATTACAAATATATGGTTTATAAACTAGTGGTGGTAACATTAATGCTTAAACTTTTCGAATTGATAAGTTTTTGAGCCGTTAGAGTTTGAGACATTGGATTATCTTATGGTCTGTCATTATGATAAAATGATTTTGAATAGGGGTTGATAAACAATGATATTCATCATCATCATATAATATATTATAATGATAACAATATTCATATTCTTCATGTGATATTTAACCATCATAGGAATATAAATAATGCTAATATGCATCAACATTGATGTCCTTGAATATCATTTATAATATTTATATAAAAGGTGTTTTTAAAGGTGAGGCAAGTGCTCGCCTAGTTGAGATAAGGTGATTATTTTTTTGATATTTTTTAATGCATTCACCTGTATATTATAAGAGAATTTGGTGGTGGTCTTTGATGGGTAATGAAAATGATGGACATGAATGGCTATAGATTAGATATAATTACCTTTAAGAAACTTAGCTCTATTGGTGAGATATGCTTGATGTGATTTCATTTTGATGATTGGCATTATTAGTGTTCTACAAAACTTTGTTTACTTCCTCTTTCCCCTTAAGTTTGCCTTTTATTGTAACATTTCTTCTTGAATTTGAAGGAATCCCAGACAACTGAGGATTTCCTTGCTTGTTTATGGGGGTGTGAAAGTGAGGGAACCTTCTTGCAAAGAGAGCTTAGTCTTGATCTTACGAGGCGCTTAGGTTTCCTTGCCATGGATTTGCTGTATGCTAGAGTGAAGGAGGATAGTAGAGAGAATCTTCTTCAAGAAAGGAAGGAGACGATGGATTTGGTGCAACAAGAGAGATGGAGAGGCCATTAGCTTTAGAGTAAGAGAAGGACACGAGTCTTTCTTACTTGCAGTTTTTTTTCCTTTTTCCCCAAATATTCATGAGTATGTTTACAATACAAAATATACAAGCATTCTCTATTTATTATAGGGGTTTTGCCCTCTATGGAAATAAAAAAATAGGAAAGCTATTAACAATAGATAATGGGACATTTTCTTATAAAGATTTTTTTTAATGAAAGTATCTTCTCAAGAAAGTGGGGATTCTTTCATCTCTATGAGAAGACCTCATGAAAGAATCCACTACATGAAGTAGCTTTTGATTTTGCATTTATGACAATCAATCCAATTAAGGCATAGGATATAACAAGTCAACTCAGATGACATGTTCGGCAGCTGAGTATTGCATGTTCTATGACAGAGAGAAATAGGTTGTTTGGATAGTATAATATAGAAGATAACTGTGTGGATACGGAGTGAGAATATATGGAGGGAAGGATTAATTTATTGTCAAAATTGCATCCATTTAACCCTCACTGAAGTTGGCTTTGCAAATTTAAATTCAAGGTTAAATGTTGATAAGCCTTAAATTTCCTATCTAATTAAAGAAATTCTATAGCTAAATTCTTTTAAAACTGAAATAAAAACTTAAAAAAATCTAGAAGTACTTGCATAATTCGAAATAGTTTTCTTTCACCGCAGCACTTTATTTGTGGAGGAGTTGTTGCAAGAGGTCATGCTATTGTGTAATTTTAGTTTACTAAATTGAAATTTACATGCATGCCAGAGAATTCTTAGTTATTTTCATATATGTTTAATCCGAATCTGTACTGTGAATCACACCCAAGTATAGAGCGTAAGGCAGGATAAAGAGTAAGAGAGAAGGAAAGAGAGTGCACACTAAAAAACTAAGTTCTCCGAAGGGTGACTGATTAGCCTTTTATTGTACCCCCTATTTATAGTCATAGAGAGTATGAAGTGGCAGATTGTATGGATGCCCCTGCTTTTATGGGGGAATTACAGAGTATTTTAGTCCTACAGAAAATATAGCCTTTGGCTTGGCTATCTGTCATTCGGTCGACGGGTGTCTGAGACCTTTGGGTCGGACAAGCACGTTGCATCGACTTTGTTGAGTTAGAGCAGTCGATCAGCCCTGGTGGTCCTTCGGTTGTTTGGAGCCCGTTCGGTCGTCCGAACCTTATTCCGTCAGCCTTAGTCAGTTGGTCGACTATCTTGGTTTGACTTTCGACTATTGAGTCTAGGGCGGGAAACTCATGCTACTGGGGCAGTGGTAGGTTATCAGGCAGATGATAAATCATTGTAATCTGATAGAAAGCCCACCTCCTTTGGCATGAGATCCGTCTGGAGGGTTTCATAAGTGTATGGTAATTAGGAGTTAGGGCCTCCTGAAGAGCCTTTAAGACTCTTGTGAGTCGTCTGATGGTACTTGGGCGAGGTTTGGTGTGACCCATCTCCTCTTTTGGATAGGGAGTGATTCTTGGCTTGACTGACCTTCTTTCGATCGGCCCAAAGTCTTGCTTTTGGGAGCTCCAGGTGGTCTACGGGACTCTGTAGATCTTCTGCTTACGTGGTTACTATCTCTTTAGTTGGGCTATCTTTAATCGTACTTTTGCCTTGTTGTCAGTTGAATTTCAGACATATAATATAGAACACCTGAAGTATGATATTATAACACCTTGTCATAAACCCATGCATAGAAAGTTGTTGTTCATTTTTAAAAAGGTAGCAATATTTTTGATGTGATGTTAAAGATTTGACTGGTATGCATGTAAATTTGAATCTTTAGGTTTTAGATATGTAAATATATAATATTGTGTGTTGTGTGATTCTTATTTCTAGGCTTCCAAGCTTCAGGTTAAAATAAAAGTGAAATTTTTACCTAATTTTATATCTTAGATGATTGATCTTGTATTGTTAATTTGGCTACAGGATATGGCGGGACTGATAAGCAAAATAAATCGTTCTTGTATTGGTCCGGTGCCTCCTTGCTATTCCCCGTCATTGTAAGTGTGCCACAAATCATTTAATCTATCTATACCAAACGTTGCTTGAATTATTTCGACCAAAGTTTATGCATATTTTATTCGAAATGTGTTGCCTTTTACCATATGATTGAAACCAGCAGTAACAAATGCTTTCGATTGCAAGAACATTAGCTTTTTATTGAGAAGTATCTGTCTCCATCTCTTTAAAAGGATGAAAATACTTCTGCCAACCAAGCCATGCTCAGGACATAGCTTCAAATCTTGGTTTTGCTTTTAACTGGAAAATTCCTAACGATTAAAAAAAAAAAAAAACTTTAATTTTTTTTTTTTTTTTTTTTGGCTTGTACATTGCTTAATTTGTATTTATGTGTGGCTTATTTTTTATGAAGAAATAAAGACTTCTAACTTAACTATCATATAATGAAATATTTGACTTAAAATCTTAAAAGCATGTATTTAAAAAAACATTTAACCTGATGCACAGGCTTTTAGTTGTGTAACCCTCAAATACATTGCCGCTTGACTGCAGGGGCATAACCAACATTTATTTTGAGGCTGGACAAAATCAATAAATATCAATTTTTTTAAAATAATATATTTGAAGGGGCAAAATTATTAAAATGACTAAACTACATGAGAAAAAATATTTAAATTTATTATTTTTATAGAAAAATTATAAATTTCAGAGGGGCAATTTCCTCTCCGACATAACTCCTGTACATAACCTGTTTCTGCCCTGCTCGGTGGTTTCTAAATATTACTAAACAGCATCATGTATGGAATGATTCATTATAAGAATATATTGATGACAGTTGTTGTTTATCATATAGAACCTTTGCATGGCCTTCACATAATCAACGTCATACTTGTATTATAACTAGATGTTTTTTTTTTTTTTTTTTTTTTTTTTGGCTTGTACATTGCTTAATTTGTATTTATGTGTGGCTTATTTTTTATGAAGAAATAAAGACTTCTAACTTAACTATCATATAATGAAATATTTGACTTAAAATCTTAAAAGCATGTATTTAAAAAAACATTTAACCTGATGCACAGGCTTTTAGTTGTGTAACCCTCAAATACATTGCCGCTTGACTGCAGGGGCATAACCAACATTTATTTTGAGGCTGGACAAAATCAATAAATATCAATTTTTTTAAAATAATATATTTGAAGGGGCAAAATTATTAAAATGACTAAACTACATGAGAAAAAATATTTAAATTTATTATTTTTATAGAAAAATTATAAATTTCAGAGGGGCAATTTCCTCTCCGACATAACTCCTGTACATAACCTGTTTCTGCCCTGCTCGGTGGTTTCTAAATATTACTAAACAGCATCATGTATGGAATGATTCATTATAAGAATATATTGATGACAGTTGTTGTTTATCATATAGAACCTTTGCATGGCCTTCACATAATCAACGTCATACTTGTATTATCCATCCATTTATTTTAATTAATTATTTTTTTTTTTTTTTTTTTTTTTTTTATTCATCTTATTATTGTGATAGCAACATAATTACAATGATAATTCTAATGGAGATCTTTTAAAGATTAGCGTAGGGGTGGTTTTGAATTCATAAATTATGATCTTAGACTTATTGTTTACACGAGAACCTTGGACTGTGAAAGATTTATTTAGATTTTTGTGCTTGTAGGATGTTTGTATGTCCCCTATTATTTCATTGTTTTTTGTCAATCTAGTGTTATTAATCTTAGGCTTCTTCCTCGTAAATATCTTAAGCTTCTGCGTTTAGTGTTATTTCTGCTAATGACAGCCATCATTACTGCAGGAAAACACTCATTAAGAGCATGTTGAGAAAAAACCCCGAGCATCGGCCAACTGTACGTTCTCTCAAATTCCGAATAATAGTTTTATCATTTTCCCCCACCATATTCTGTCCTGGACCTGATTTTCACGTCTTGGAATAAACTTGAGCAGGCATCAGAAGTACTAAAAAACCCATATTTGCTGCCTTACATCAACCAAAACCGCTCCTTTCTCCCTCCTAATCCAATTCTATCACCCCCAAAACCCATCTTCTCCACCTTCAGTGATACTCGCAAGAGCATCTGTGTCAGTCAAAGCAGTAGCTTTTGCAGCAGTGATTTAGAAGGAAATCCTCCTCTAGCTAATGAAGAAGCTGAAAGTAGCAGTGACCATCTTCCATGTCAGGCATCAGAAACTCACCTTCCGGTCCTCAAAGTGGCTTCAACCTCCCTCAGTTCCAACCGGCAACAGAGCAGCGAATCAAAACTACCAATAACAGTGAAGAATATCCTCATCTCATCCAAACAAGAGGGCAAACCTATAGAAAACAGCACACCCCTGAGAGCTCGCCCTGCAAAACCAAGCATAGATCCATTTCATAAGGCGCCAAAACCTAGCCGTCGCAATTTTTTGCAACAAATTCCAGAAAAAGTTGCTACTGAATCAGCCAACAGTGTTGAGGATCGTACAAAACCTCTGGTTTCTCCAACCCAACGAGTAATGTCTGCCTTCCTCATGCTCTTCACCTCTTTACGCCCTACTCTGTTCTTTAATTTGTCTCTTTGATTGTGGCAGGCACCTTTGACCGAGCAGTCTTCGAAGTTTAAAGCTGCTAATGCCTTGAAAAGAGTTGATGAAGATGCCACTACCGTTAGTGGGAGCAAAGGACTTCCTCCAAAGCTGAACCGGAAAGCTGATAAGAATCCGTCCAAGCAAAAACGCTCGTCTGAACCTTTAACTAGTGAGATAAATTCTGGCAGTTCCAAAGCAATACCTACTGAGAAAGAAGCTCATCCAGACTTGTTCAGAAAAGAGACCAATTGCCGATTATCCGCACAAATTCCAGAGGCTAACCATGAACATAGCCGCAACACTCTTGTGCTTAATCCCGACATTAATTTGATGGAGATGCAGAAGAGTACCGCCACTGCTAGTAATGATGAAGGGAGTTCAAGCTCAGCTATGGAGCCTTCAGTTATAGGCTCAGAACAAGAATTTGTTTGTAAGGATGAACTGATTCCTCAGCCCAAAGATGACGATTTCTCAGTTAAAGAGCTCCTTTCTTTCGTTACTTCAGCTCCGAATATCTCTAAAGCTCCAATTCAAAACCAGGCCTTGGAAGACAAAGGAAGAACTCAGATAACTCCAGCTTTCTCTGATGTCATACATGTAATAAGACACAGCAGCTTCCGAGTAGCCCACGAACAGGCACTAATCGAAAGCAAAGAAGATTTCGAGACAAGAAATACGCAATCGCAGCATGCCACTCTAGAAACTATTACAGAAAAACCATTGGACTCATTTCCCAAGCCAAACCATAGTGATGCCATGACTGTGCAGAAAGATGATACGCTGGATGTGAAATCTTTCAGGCGGAGAGCGGAGGCGCTGGAAGGCTTACTGGAGCTTTCAGCCGAATTGCTTCGGCACAATAGATTGGAAGAGCTCGCTGCTGTGCTGAAGCCATTCGGGAAGGTTGAGGTCTCGCCGCGAGAGACTGCCATCTGGTTGGCGAAAAGCTTCAAGGGGATGATGATGGAGGACGCTAGTCGCCCATCGTGAGACATCCTCGCTTCTCTTCTTTTCCAGGTACGTACCGCACAGTTCCAATGTATTTATATATTCAACGCCTAAATTTTAATTTTTACATAATTATGCATAAAATAATGTGTTATACTTTTAAATAATTAAAACAGTATTTGTGATGTAAAAAAATTGAGTGGTATAAATATAAAAAGTAAAGTTTAGGCGTTAGATATGTGAATAGATTGGACTTGGGTGATATGCACGTAAATGAGAGGGTCGTTTTGTTGTATAGTTTTTTACGTACTTCATCAAGTGCGGAGACTAAAAAGTAGCTCTTTTTTTTTTTTTTCTTTTGCAAGGGGTAAGAAACTATTTTATGTTTGTATATTTGAAAGAGAAATTATGATGATTTTTAAAATTTTGAATTTGTTTTCGAGACAAATATGATATAAAAATTAATTTATTATTTATAACTTACGGTCATCTTAAAATAAATCTAGAAGTTTCAGAACAGTTTCTCGAATTTTGATTTTTTTTGAAGTGGGAACAACATAAATATGCACATATACAAATGAGGCTGAGGATTAGTGATGTCAAATCGGGTTTGGATTTGAACCAAAATTGATTCCACCTGAAATTGCTATTTGTAAGAAGTCTAACACTAACTAGACCCGCCTTTAAGATGACTAACTTGAGCCTGAGACATGTAGGAATAGCTGTGTCAAAGTTGATTCAATTTTGGATTGGTGGGTTAAACTCTACCCAAAGAAGTTCAGGTTAAGATTTTATGCTTAAATTCAACGTTAAAACTAACTGAGTTGTTTTTTAGTTTTTTTAGAGAAGGAGCTTTTTTATTTTGTTAAAAGAGTTTTACATTTGATATATGGGAACCAAGGAATTCCCATGAAGCAAAATCTTAAAAGATCTTTTTGGGAGACTAGAAAACAAAACTCTTTCACTATTACAACCATTTTTGGCCAGCTAGTTTGCTGGTTGATTTCCTTCTTTGAGGATATGTGCCCAGATGACCTTTGGTGATTATTTAAGAGGGAGATCTTCTTGATCCAGTGGACGAGCTGTCATGGGATGTTGGAGTTCTTATGTACGATCTGGATGAGTTGTAAGGCATCAAACTCCATATATATGTATTTGAACTAATGATATTGCTAGCTTCAAGGCCCAGTAGACTTCAACAAATTCAGTCTCCAAGGCATTGTTGGTAGCCACCGGTGATTGAAAGAACCAAAGACAATTTACATTGTGATCTTTGCAAGCACCTCCAATTCCAACAACATCTTGAGAGAAACTTTTATCAGTGTTGATGTTTACCCATGGTTGAGCAAGCCTTCTTCATATCACATTTTGTATTAAATGTGTATTTAGTGAACCAACCTCCCAATAAGTCTGATGGAAAATTTTCCTTATTCTAGTTATATAGGAGATGCAGTTGGTATAGATAGCCACCTCTGCTACAGTCATGTTTAGCCTTGTTTCTAGCCATCCATAAGGACCAGGCAAATGATTAGAAGGATGTATTGTTGTTGTTGCTCCTTCTAGTCATTCCGGCATTCTTCTATGCTTAACCCAATTTTAACCCATAGGTCTCAACCTCAGAACTTCAAGGGTTTCAGTTCATATAGCTCTAGTAGTTTGGCAAGTGATAAATATGTGATTTAGGCTCTCCTCCTCCTGATAGCATAGGTGACATATTGAAGCACCTCTTAGCCCTTTCAATTTCAGAATGTCATCTGTAAGGAAGAACCTTTTGAATAACTTCCAGCAAAAAACAGATATTGAAGGTGTTAACACTTTGGCTTATATTAATTTGCCTTAGCTCACCTCTTGCCATGTGAAGGTAGATTGAAAAGGGTCTTGTTTTTAAGTTGAGTTGGCTCATATTTTGGGTCATCATTTGTGAAAGTTAGAATAATTTTTTAATTTTATCTTCATGCCCCTTGTTTTATTTTAGAATTGTCACGCAGCCCAACTTTCCCCCCAAAAAAATGAAATTAGTTGGCATTAATAGAGATAAAAAAAGAGAGAAAACTTGACACTTCATAAATTTCAGACTTTATTTTTTTCATAAATTACAATGATTTTTAGGTAAGGGTAGGGCCTTCTAACTATCCGATAGGAGCAAAGGCTCATTACAGCATTTTGCCGGGCCCAAAGGACTCTTGAATGGGCTACCAAGAACTGGATCTTAGGTAATGCTGCCTGCCCGGGCTGCCTCTTTAATCTGTTACAAAGGCTCATTACAGCACCGTTCAAAAGGCCGACAATCTAGACTATAATCAAATATATATTTTGGAATTTTACGAGTACGAAAAACCTAATCTTCCTTCTTCTCCCACTTTTTTGGGCTATTATGATGGATCAATCCCGATTTCTCTTGATCCACGAAGGCCGCATTAAGCAGGTGCTCTAGAAGATATAAGCAATCGTAGAATATGCTCATAAGGACAATGCAACAAAATCTGGAGGCAAGTTACAGAAAGATAAATGATATAATATATCAAAAGTAGATTTAAGTTGAATAATGTCATTATAATCATAAAAAACTATATTATTTGCCTAAGAATAAATATCAATTTCAATATTTGCCAAACTGGTTACTTATAAAAACTTGCCAAGTGATTCTTAAACAATTTTTTATCAAAAATATAAATGTAAATAATATATATATATATATAATATATATAAATCAATACTGCAAATAAATGCATTACATTTACGTGAGGTCTATGGGGTGCTCATAAAAAAACTAGCTTCAAGAAAGGGTTTTCATTCAACTCACCAATAAATACCCATTCATCCATGAAATAAATGCAAATTTATAAGCTTGTCGTATCAAGCTCTCTTTACCAATTAACTACTTAATACCTGCATTTTTATATGTAATTTATTAATTAAATTTAAAAATACATGCATAATAACTCTAAAGTAACCATTTTACACTACAAATAAAATTAGCATCCATCTGTGTCATTATAAAATAAAATACCATCATATCATATTACAATATATTTCTAGTTAAACATCCACATTTTTCATCATTCATTTTATACCCCTAACCCCAATATATATATATATATATAATTAAATAAAACAAATCAAAATATAATATGAGCACGATTTTTAAAGTTCATAAAGGTCCATTTATATGACTGCCTCCCTCATTAATCCTTTCCACCTCTCTTTTAAGTTGACCCCGGCCTCTCTCATTCACCTCACATGGCCCATTAATACCCTATTACTGTTCCCCCTCAACAATAAAACTCGCTCGCCCCATCTTCAACCCCCCCACAGATCATAACACGCTCTCCTCTCTCCCTCTGCACTCCCATACTCCGGCAATGTCCTCCGGCCGGCGGCGCTTCTCCATGAAACAACCCGCCCCGGACGTGGGCGGCGCCTGCCGGCGAGGAAATCTCTCATCTTTCCTAACCTCTCTCCGCCTGAAACCTCGCCGTCCCAACACTCCCCACTCACTCTCCTCCTCCTCCCTCTGGCCCTCCACCGCCACTTCCTCCACCATGGCGAACTCCTCTTCCTTCTCCCTTTCCTCTCACGACGAGCAGGAGAAGAAGAAGAAGAAGAAGAAGAACAAGGAGCAGAGCTGCGATAAGAGAATTAGAAACAGGGGAATGGGGAATATTCCCTGGTCTGCCGAGGCGGAGAGCGTACCGGTGGTGAAGGAATCCTCCGAGCCTTACGCCGATTTCAGAGAATCAATGGTCCAGATGATAGTGGAGAACGATTTGTACGCATGGGATGAACTCAACGACCTCCTCCACCGTTTTCTCTCCTTAAACTCCCCCCGCCACCACAATCTCATCCTCCACGCCTTCGCTGATCTCTGGTCCGGCGTCTTCTCCCCCCCTTCTCCATGCCGCTGGGACAATCACTATTAGAAGTGCTTAACACACTGTTTCTAACTCTCCTTATGAACTATAATGAGCTCGCTTAGAAAAAAATCAGCTTTTTTTTGGTCTGTGATGAGCTCCTAGTTATATATAAGACGTAATGAATTAAAAATCAGAGTTTGGTTATCTGATTAGTTAGGTGATTAGTACTAGTGTAGAGGCTCTTAATTGCTAATTAATTAGGTGACTTAACTGTAGTTATATGGTGATTTGATGGTTTGCTTTTGGTTGTATGTGCTTTGGTGTAAATTAATGAGATCAGATCTGATCTCATGATGATGATATCTAAGCTTTTTAGAGTTTGTTGGTTATTATTACTTGTGTTAATTTTATGTCACTTTTACTGTGATCTTTAATGGTTGATCTGACATTTACCACTGAATTTTGTTTGCCTGAGTGAAGTCTTCAGACCTATATATGAATGCGATGTGTCCCTTTCTCTCTGATGGGCATGGGGCTGATTGTAGAGAGAGAGGGTTATGATTGTGGATGATACATAGCTTTTGCTTTCAAGTTGCATGGAGTGCTCATCATGAGAGTGTGGCGCAGGAAATTGCCTGAAACACGAGTTTGTGTGTACGATAGTCAACTTTTATGGCAGCCACAAGATTACGTGTTGCAGACATATTTGATTAAATAATTAGCTTTATATATATATATATGAGAATAAAATTTGTAAAATAAGCTAATATTAGTATTATTTTATCTTGATAGATTTAATTTTTAAAAAATTAAGCTTAGAGAAGGAGGTGAGGTGTCCCATTTCATCAAAGATTTTAATTAAGTAATTATATTTTAATTTTAAATTGATAATGTTTGCAGACAACTTATAACGAGCTCAAAATGTAACATCATTATATGCAAAAAATATGATTATATAAAATTTTATTTATTTATTTTTTTAATCTAAGCTATTTGTTAAAGTGGCTGAATCGAATTTTTCTACTAAAGTTGTTCATTTGAGCCAACTTATGAAAGTAATTGGAGTGAACTTCCCTATTTAAGTGGTTGAATCAAGCTCATCTATTGAAATGGTTATATTCATTCCTCTTGAATAAAGGTCTAATCCAGCTCGTGAGGGCAACGATCAGAGAAGTTCATCATTGATAGTAAGGACATCCATTGATCTATTAAAATGTCATCTGATATTTATTGCTTGGTTTTTTTCATCCATCCATTAGAGCTGAGTGTCGGATGAGCATCTTATGGCACCCTTATCACACTCTTTTCATCAAAACGATTCTCTCTCATTTTCTTGCTATTCTTTATCCAGTTATATGTTCGCACAAATAATACAAAACCCAACATCTCAAGATGATTCCACAATCATTCAGATTGTAAATGAGTCGGTTGAACCATGCTCAACGGCTCGTGAGCTTATTATGCTCGATCAGTCTAATTTATACTTAAAATTTAAGCCATTTTCATGCATACCACTTAATTCCTATCTATTTATATATCTACCATCTGAACTTAGTTTTTTCATTTGTAACCTCCAAAATTTTCATATGATCTACAAACATTATTATTTTAATTTTAAAAAAAATGAATACAGCAAGGTCACAGGTGCTTTGTCTTGCTTGGATTTTTGTGTGATTGTCTCCATTGGATTGCAGCAGTGTGTGTTTTGTCGTATGCTATAATAAGGATCTCGCAATGTGGACAAGTGCTTTGTCTCTACACTATTAGAAGTTGTGTATAAATATATAAATATATAAATATGGGGTATTTATACGCATACTAAGCACTTTTTATTCTACATATTATTTTAACGTCTAATTTTATAAAAATGTATGCATAGAAGTATAAAATGTGATTTGCAGTTTCCTATAAACATATGAGGGGTACGCTTATGTTGAAATAATATAGTATTGGTTTTTTTACATACATACCATCTAATTCTATGTATTTACATATCTAACATCTTTGCTTTCTGTAATTTATATCGTCCGAAACTTTCATATCACATCTAAAATAAAATTATTTTAATATTAAATATTAATACATGTGATTATTTTAATTTGATTAAATTAAATTAAATTAAATTAAATTAAATTCAGCTTAATTAAAATTTAATTCTAAGTGGAAGGTTTATGGAATGCCTCATAGCCCATAGGTATTATAAATTTATTAATGTAGTTATGTATAATTTAATTTTTTTTTTCTTTTAATTTTTTGTTAGTTGAAATCTTAATTATGTCATTAACACATATTATCATGGTAGGCTCGGGGTATAAAAAACTAAGCAAAATGTTGCAAAATAAATAAATAATTAATTAAATAAGTAGACTGTCAAAATAGGGGTCAACTATTTATATAGTGTAATTTTAAGTTCTAGAGTGTATAGAAGTGTCAATTGAAATTGAGGCTGAAATAGTACCGATGAGGAGTATTTGTGCTTCAGTTTAAAATAATCGATAACTATTTTGACATTTCTATAAACTACATGACTATTTAAATTTTGCTTGATTATTTATGTATTATATTATTTAAGGATTATGCTTGATTATTCATGCATTATATTATTTAAAGATAAATTAGGAAGTTCTATAAACATTTTCAGAAATATAAGTAAGGTGGTATGGATGTAAAAATTGAAATATAGGTGTTAGATATGTAAATGCCTAAGAATTGAGTGGTATCTATGAAAAATCTTCCTATCATTCAATGCATTAATTTAGGTCAAAGCAGCCATTAATTAATCTTGACTACTTAAAGAAGTTATAGGTAGACTCAATTACTTAAAATCATTAATAATTGCACTTTATGCCCCCCATGCATTCATAGAATTAAATTTGGCAATTTTTAATTTTTTGTAGGGTTTAGTGTAATTTCTTTGTTGGCAGGGGTGCATCAAGAAAATATTAACAACTATAAAATAATCCCAAGGGTTATATCGAGTTTTGCTTGAGCCAGTCCACCTAAACTCAAAAATACAAGAATGTGAATTTGACTCCGAGCTAAATTCGAGTCAAGTCGATGTTACTCGATTGACAAAATTTTTAAAGTAGCATGACAACATTAGCTTGCGTGGACAAAATTGAATGAAGTTCGCTAAACATGTTAGACCCGATATATGTTGTCTATCTAAGATATGTGTAGACAAAGTCAAATTGAGTCCATAATGAGGTACTGAAAGTGTTTTATGTTTCTCGGGCACGGGGCATAGGCCGAATTGAACCGTAAATTTACAATATATAATACCTACTCTGCTTTGTTTACACTTATATCACCAAAATCTTCCATATCACATAAACAACACAGCTATTTAAATAGAAAGTTAAATACAAATTCTCATGCACAGATAAAATTGCATATATGCAAAAGTTGATGTTTAGATGTTCTATATGTAAATACAAAGGATCTAAGGGGTATGCATGTAAATCATCCTATTTATATTTGCATTGGCCATTCAATTTATTAATGTAAAAGCATTCACATTAGTAGAGCTAGCATGCAAATTCAATGAGCTATTTACACTTTTATTTCAAAACCAATGAATCTGAAACATTTACTGTCGTATTAAAAGCTTGCATTTATTCAGGCTATCATAGCACATATTTTTTAATGTATTTACACATTTAACCCCTTGTAAGGTTTTAATATTTATATGCATAACACACAAATTCTCTAATATCATATAAGAAAAAAAAAATACAATTATTAATTACTGTTTCAAGGTGAAATACATCTTTTCTTTCCATGTATGAATTTATGACATTAAAATATGATAAAAATTTAGAAATGTAAATATATAAGCATTGTGTGATGTATGTTTTTATCTAAGGGCCCATTCGGGGGGCGGCGCGGTGCGGGTTGGACTCGCAGTTTCGGCGTTAAAGCTTTCAGGCCACTGAAGCAAGATTTATAACTTGATGTACACTTCTTGTATAAATGCATGTAATACTATATTTTTATACATATATATGTTTATATATATATATATATATATATATATATATATATAAATAGTCGACAGAGACTAAACAATGCAAAACGACCAAGCACACATCAAGGCTCCATAACTCGACTTTTTAAAACTCACTCTCTCTAAACACACGCATGCATAGATACACCCAACTCCTGTGTATTTACATAACTAACCTCCAAACTTTACTTTTTGCACTCATACCACCCTAAATCTTTCATATCAAATTAAAAAAAATTTATCACCATTTTAATTTTTACAAAGTGAAATATATGATTTAATACATATATAAGATGGCAGGTATGTAAAAAATAAAATTAAAATTAAAATTTTAGATATATAAATACATGAGAATTGAGTGGCATAAATGTAAATCTCTCTATATATTATCTTTCATTTCTCTCTCTCTCTCTCTCTCCCGCTCTCCCCCATCTCTTAAATCACAAATCAATACTTTGAATTCCGCCATTCAACGCAGCATAAATAGAACTGAGATCTCATTACTCAGTAGTTTTAATGTGGTTTGAGTCATTCACCAATAAGAAAAAAATATTTATGAAATAGTATTTTAATATATAATATAATATTCCAATTCGCATCCACACAAGGCTAATACTTAATATATAGAGCATTTACATACACACCACCCAATTTCTATGTATTTTACATATCTAACGCCAACACTTTTGTTTTTTTACATTTATGCCACCAAAATCTTTCATATCGCATGATTAACTGATTTTGGTATAGAGGAACAAGTACAAGGAAATGTGATCTCATAATAACATCATGATTTCATATTAAATAAATAATATAGCTATATTTTGCATTATGACCAACAAAATAGGTTTCATTGATTCTTCCTCCAAACCAAACAAAATTATTTCTCTTCAACTAAAGAGGAGAACTAAATCTAATTTTCAATATATTTTCTAAGGAATTTCACACACATACTACACAATGCTTATACATTTACATATCTAATACCTACTTTTTTAATATTTACACTTCAAACCACTTTGATGTCACAAATCTATTCATAAAAAAAGTTTTCAATTTCATTTATGAAAAGTTAGTAATAGTGGTATTTTTTGTGTGATACTATGATGTCATAAATCTATGCAGGAGTATTGCATGATATGGCCCAATTATTTAGGAAAATTTGCATACATACCACCAAATATTTATGTATTTACGTGTGCAACATCCAAATTTATATGCATTCATGTTGAATTGAAAAGAAAAATCAAAATTTTATTTAGTTTTAGTACACCGAAAAATATAAATTGAAGGAAGTAGCTAAAGCCTTGCAATTTCAACGGATTTCTGCAAGGCTTGGAGTAGGCTTCTCATAATCCTCTCCTCTCCAGGAGGAATTTTTGATTTGAGCGGTCCGTTTCTTGTGGCCCGGAAAACCGGTCCGGTTCGCTCGGACGCAGGGTAAACCAGGCAGTCTATGTACGCAAAGACCTCTGTCTTCCCATCCACCACGTTAATAAAACCCAATCTAACTCCACCTTCCACTTTATCTATCTGTATTATTATTATTATTATTAAAACAATCTATTATTTAAATTATATACATACCACAAAAACATTTCTTATATATTCACATATCTATCACCTAAAATTTAATATTTATATTTATAACACTTTATCCCTTTTAGAGTTTATAAATATATATATTTTAACTTTTATCTAATGTTTTGATTTATTATTTGTTTTATTTTAATAACAAATTTTATGCTCTAAAATTTCTAAATAATGAAATAATATTTATATTAATTAAAATATTATTACAATTATTAAATCATTAAAATAATTAATTTTAATTTTTTTTTTAAAAATATTATAATTATAAATTCTAAAATAACTTCCATATTAATTACAATTTTAAAACTGTTATGCTTTAGAGCAATTAATATTTTAACATATTTCATTTTTCCCAATAGACAGCATAACAATTGGTGATAAGCATATTATTTTGATCATTTTATTTTAAAAATAATAATTTTAAATTATAGAAAATAATAATTTTAAATTATAGGAGAGAGAGAGAGAGCATGAGGCGTAGGAGACAATACGGACCTGGAGAGGAACAGGGAGAGGTAGAGTGGCTCCTTGGCAGAGACTATTAGCCCACTACATCAATGCAAAACATGGAAGCATTTCAGAAAACTCAAAGTTGGAAGAGGAAGAAGAAGAAAGAAGAAGAGGAAGAAGTGATTAGGGATTACGACCTGAAACAATAAGGTCTGAAATAGGGTAATATCGGTATCGGCGGGAAGCTTCATGGTTCCAAGAGAAACGCCATCGTCATCGGAATCGGTATAAAGGGCTTGATTTGATGGAGAAGACCTCGGAGCTGAAATCGGAAAGCGAAACCCTAGACGGAGCTTCGCTGGGCCACCGTGCCCGGGAATCGTTAGTGTAGTGTATTTGGAGAGGGGGAAAGGGGGGCATGGGGTAGTTTGGTTGAGTGAGAAGGGGAGGAGTTGGTTTATTGATGAAGCCATGGGAATAGGGGGAAAAGAGAAAGAGGCGAGAAATCGAAGAAGATGTAGACGGGGGGAAATCGAATGAAGGGGATAGATAAGAGATTCTGAGGTCAGAAAAATTTTTCTTTATTTATATATACAATTTTGTTTTTTTTTTCAACCTGACCGTGCGGTGGCTGAAAAAAAACCTATTATTTTATCATATTATTAATGGTAGGTGAAACATCTTTTTTTTATTTTGCATAAATATGGAATCATTAGGAAGTGGTTCTTCAAATAACACAAGCTTTCATGTCAATTACTTATGATGATCATTCAATACAAGTACTTGCATATAACAAATCATATGCATAATCAGAGATGGGGCGCCATGAAATAATGCTCCACAATTTAGTAGATTTAAAGTCTATATATATATAGAAGGGCAATTTGATGAACTAGTCTAAATGATTGAAAGAGAGCATAAAGATACCTCTTCATATGATGTATGAGGGAATGAATGATTTCAATGAGGTGAAAGTAAAGTATGTTGTAATGGCTAATGAGCATATAAAATAAATGATGATGATCAATGAGTACACCGAGATATACTAAAATGAAAATGAAGGGAAAAGACTAGTGATGCTACTTCTAATATGATGTAATATAAAATGAAATGAGAAATAATCATATCAATCAAAGATCGCATTATATGAAGTTCGTTCCTTATATTTATGATAAATTACATGTACAAATGATGTGACATAATATCATGTATTCATAAGATATAACTATATGACACACTGAAATCGATATGATACATGATTCACGGGTATAATATCAACGATGATAGAAAAACTGATTCCTAATGTTTATTAATTTTTTTTTATAAATGCCGTGTAACATACTATATTTTATGCTCACTTTTTAATCACTCTGCATTTATTATTAATTTTAAGGAAAACAGCAAGTGGAACGAGTTTGTGCCCTTTGTAATCAAGATCAAATTGTAATAGTTTTGATGTAAATTATAGAAAAATCATGATGATATGAATAATGATTTTAAGCTTGCAAACTATACAATCTTTGATAATCTTGATTTTGAGGAAGTAGGTGAAAGAAATAAGAATGAAACCCTATAATCTAAATGAACATGATTAATGTTTTCCTCATTTTACTTTAACAAAACTTATATAATCTAACATAGTGTGAATAATATGTTGGTTATAGTGTGACAATCCATATGATATAATAAAATATGGTGTCTCTGACAAAAAAAATCACCCAACATCCACTAAAACAAAAATCCAACCAAAAATGTCACCCAACATCTACATACGATCATTGTTCACTTACCACTTAACTCTTGATGACAGCCATCACTTAGTTCTTGATTGTGGTCTACACCAACAAATATCCATTAACCAATCAACCGATATCATCACTTAAGTCCAACCCCCGATACATGTCATTTCCTTTCATGAAAGCCCATCACTTTCACAAAATCGAATGCTCGCTAACCAACATCACCTGACTTACAATCAACCAACATTTACTCATTCGAACTCCAAATATCATCAGCCACTCATCCGCACACATTAAACAACATCTCCCGAGGCTCACATAAAATGTACATTTTGGATCCCTCCCATAGAAGATCTAATTGTAGTGTTGCTATGTTCAAATTCAAATAGTCATAAAAGATATTAAACCTGTGGAAAGAGCATCCAAGTTGCATAAACTATAATCATGTCATTACTAGAAGTTAAAGAAACACAATTCTTTATTATTCTGACCCAAACATTCATAGGCAGCTTAATCAATATACTAACAACCAGCAGTCATTATAACAATAAAATTTTAAAACATGGAAAAAAAAGGGGAATAAGAAAATTAAAAAAAAAAAGATTATTGCACGCTACAAAACTCTAGAAAACAGAAGCTAATTTTCTAATAATTTTTAGAAGAATCAGTAGAGTACCTAAGAAGAGACACCTAGCTTCGGTAGAAGGCTTCTCCAGGCATCTGCAATATCATGGGAAAGTTTGGCTTGCCCCTTTGCAAATTCATGAAAGGCAAGGCCTAATTCTGCAGTTTTCTGTTCTTGAAAATGGGCAAACTCTTCATTCATTAGTTTGACAATCGTTTCATACCTTCTGGTTGCTTCCTCGCTCTCCGCTTTTAGCTGCAGTTCGAAACAATGTAAGAAGCCGAAAGAAATCTGTTCTGAAATTCCTTTCTAAAGCAAGAAGAAGGAACTCACCTCTCTGAACTCAATCTCAGCTTCGCCAGCTCTATCGGAGCGAATTAGCGTCAGCTTATCACTGCAAAACAGAAAATGCTAGTCACGTAACAGCCAAAATGGAATGAAGAACATAATGGAAAGAAAATAAGATAATTAGACGGCTTTAAGCTTGTCCTTAGTTCCATAGGGCAATTGAGGGAGTCCACAGTTCAGAAATTCAGTGGAGAAAAAGGAAGGGGAGGTAAAGCTCAATTTGTTCATTTGCTATTACTCACAAAAAAGAAGCATTTAAAAACTCAAAATTCTCAAAAAGACAAATTAACTAGCGAGTACCCACCCAAACAACTGAAAACATCTACAACAACACAACAACAAAGCTTTAATCCCACTACGTGGGGTCGCCTAAATGAATCATTTTTCTCCATTGCGTCCTATTTAGCTTCATATTTTTCATTTAGTTCTAATAAATTAAGATCACTTTTTATACAATAAGCACAAGTCTTCCTAGGTCTACCGCTGCCTTCCTTAACATAAGTCAAATCTAAAAATCTACTCTTCTAATCGGATCATCAGATGGTCGGCGTTTAATGTGACCAAACCATTTAATATGGCTCTCTCTAAGTTTATCCGTCACTGGAGCTAACACCAACCCTATCACGGATAAATTCATTTCACATTTTGTCTCTAAGTGTAAAGCCACTCATCCACCTAACAACACTTAACTTATTATTATGCTTCTCTTTTAAAGGCCAACATTCAGCGCCATAGAGCATTGCAGGTCTCACCACCATCTTATAAAATTTTCCTTTCAATCTAAGCGTTACTTTTCTATCACACAAAAGGCCCGAAGCATTCCTCCACTTCAACCAACCAACTAGAATTCTACTATTAACATCTCTGTCTATATCATCAACAGACCCGAGATATCTAAATCGTTCACACCTTTTAATAATTTGATCACCCAAAGTTACACTTTTGTCACTAGAGCTACTTCTACTATTTACTAAAACATTCCATGTATTCAGTTTTAGTTCTACTCAAATGAAGACCTTTAGACTCCAATGTAGTCCTCCATAATTCAAGTCTTTACTGGGCTTTTTCTCTCATCTTGTCCACGAGAAGAATATCATTAGCAAAAAGCATACACCAAGATACAACCTCCTGTAAATATGTCCAGTAAGACCATCCATAACTAAACCAAAAAGATATAGGCTTAAAATCAATCCCTGATGTAATCCAACAAAAATAGGAAAATATTCGATCAATCCTCTTTCAGCTCGAACACAAATAACATCTCTAGTATACATATCTTTAATGACTTGAATATAAGTCATATCAACACCTTTCTTCTCAAGAACTCTCCAAAGGATATCTCTTGGAACCTTATCGTAAGCTTTTTCTAAATCAATAAAAATCAAATGTAGATCCTCCTTATTATCTCTGAACATAACCATCAAACAACTCAAAACACCTATTCCACTTATTTTAAGTACTATCATTTGGGAAATTTCGGATGAGAACCTATATCTTAATATTAATATTAAGCACTACATGCTATAAATTTTATGCCAAATAAATTGCGAATAGATTAAGGATTATTATTAATCTTTTGAGATATCTCATGAATTAGTTGTACTTTATGATGGGTCGACATTAAATATTTTATTATATTATATTTTTAACACACTCCAGAATAAATAGGATTCTATCTCTCGTTTAATCAGTGATTCTTCCATTTGCTCAATTCCATTTTCTAAGCCAAAAAAGGCTCTCTCTCTCTCTCTCTCTCTTCTCTCTCTCTCTCTCTTTCTTTCTCTCTCTCTCTCTATGCAGAACATCGTTTTAGATGTGAAAGGATGAAAACAAATCATTGCAATTCAGTGGATTCAAGTTTTGATAGATTGTCTCAATAATTTGATATAAGATTTTTAATTAGCTGAACATTAATTTCATCTTCTAATATTTTCAACACTACATCCCCAACAGGATCAACCGTCACTACCGTCACTACCCTTAACACATTAAAGTATTGGTTTTCAGTAGATTTAATCAAAATTAAGAGATTTAAAAAATCTGTAGCGATATCAGAAGCATAAGGGTTTAGACGAAAAAAGAAAAACGTAAATTCACATACCGAGCACACAATTCTTATGTATTTATATATCTTACACCTAAATTTCATATTTACAAACATAACGCTTTGGTTCTTTAAACCTATGCATGAAAAAGTGTACTTCACCTTTAAAAATTGCAGATCGTGCTATTTTTGATGTGATATTAAAAGTTCAGTATTATCTGTGTAAATATGAAAGTTTGGGTTTGAGAAAAGTAAATACATTAGAATTGTGTGCTATGTGGGTAAACGCCCCTGCCCCTACCAAAAAAAAAAAAAAAAAAAAGAACTAAAACTTGCATCTTACAGGTTTATCTCCTTCAGTCTGATTGTTTCTGCCAATTCATAGTGTTGTCTAAAAGCATTGGCTCTGTCCGTCATTGTCACCTGGTCAAAAAGGTACCGAGTTTGCATCTCAAGTTCAACAAAAAAAATTACTAACTAAACCAGCCATAGAGGAGATAAATTTTAACGGAGGCTTCAAAAACACAAAAAATGTGGTGACAAAGTGACCTTGATAGACTGCACTGCACGAACATAATCTTTCAGTGGTTCTTCAAACTTCATGAGAAGGTTGTGAGCCTGCAACGAGGGCCTAGTTTGTAATATGAAGCTATCAATAAAATATAGTCCCCTTCAAAGAAAAGATTCCGATTTCCTAAATCTTTTTGCATCTAGAAAACTCAATATATAATAATATTAAGGGGGGGCTTTCATACAAATACCACTGAATTCTTATGTATTTAAAGTTTAATAATTACTTATATCATAGCAGAATCCAATAAAAAATACTATAAACATTAAACAATCTAAAGAAAAAATAAAGTGAAATATATATTTTCATTTTTATATTTTGATGTGATTTAAATATTAAAGTGTTTTTTAAATATACAGATAATTTAAATGTTAGATATTGAAATACATAAAAACTCAATATTGTGTACGTGGATCCCCATAATATTAAGGTGCATTTATATACATAACAGACAATTCATACGAATTTACATATCTAACACCTAAAACTTTGATTTGTTTATTTTTTATATTTCTAATACTCAAATCTTTCATATCGCCTCAAAAATGCCATTATTACTAACTTTTCAAAAGGAAAATATATATCTTCATGTATAGGTAAAGTGTTATTAATGTAAATATCAAAGTTCAGGTATTAGATATGCAAATACATCGGAATTGTGTGACATGTATCTATATCTTCCTGATATTAATCCTCTCAAAAGTTGGGCTGTTTTGAAATACCTCTTTTTGTAGTTTCATTGATATCAACTCAGACTTTGAACCAAGATCAGAAAATGCCTTTCCAAGAGATTCAGCTTCACAAGCACCAAGAAGCTTGATTGCCTTTCCGAAATCAGAATGTGATTGTCCTAGCTCTTGAGAACAGTTCAAAAAGAGCAGAAATATAGAATTGGCTTTTACTTCAATAAATAAAAGTAAAGAAATAAAGAAGAAAAATAAAATAATGAAAAAGTAAATGAAAAGGGAGACATACAAACATACGACACAATTCATATTTGTTTACATATCTAACACCTAAAATTTGATATTTATATTTTTAACAGTTTGGCGATATAAACTTATGCATGAAAATGTGTAGTTCACATTTAAAATATTAGTAATCTATGATGTTAAAGATTTAAGTAGTATGCATGTAAACATCAAAGTTTAGGTGTTAAATATGTAAATACATAAGAACTGTGTGGTATGTGAGTAAATGCCCAAATGAAAAACTACTATTATAACCTCTGTGCCTTTTCACAAGTCGGAAAGCCTGCCTTTGTGCCTCAGCTAAGTGGTCTTCAAGCTCAAAAATGTAATGTTTCAGTTTCTCATATTCAGGAGTTGATTCCTCTACAGGTTTCTCCTTCCCCAAAACAACATCACTCACCCTTAGACTGCACGTCCTGCAATAGTAAAAAAAAAAGCAGGTAATCCTTTCTTCATGGTCTATTTTTTTAAAAAGGTGGTATTATAAGTCTCTCTATGCTTTTCTGGCTATCCTAGAAAATTTTGGCTTTATGATGGCTCCAAATATCCTTGATCTAGTTCATATATTCTGTTGCTGTTTTTAAAAGCTGAAAACCATATGTTTTACCGCTTACTGCTCTGCTTTCTTGGTCATCAAATACTGCACTCACACTTTCAAAAAATTTGGATTTCTTTCTATATTTTTCTGGTTCACTAGATACATATATTTCTTATATTGATGGATTCTTTTTGTTTGTTAATTGCTCTATTTTGCCCTCTTATGAGAATGGGGCATTTACATACATAGCACACAATTCTTATGGGTTTACAACTTTAATATTTACAAATATATCACTGAAATCTTTAATATCTATCAACCTCACTAAATATTTCACTAGTTGAATCCATCAAAGATAAGACAAATGATGAATGACGAATATGATAATTACAAAACTGCCTAAGGAGGGTCAACATTTCCCAAGGGATGGACCTTCATGATCAAAAAGAGCAAGCACAATAAAGATGATGAATTATTGGTGCGACTCACAATTTAAACCCTTGCCTCGATGACGGCCGACATTGGAGAAATGACATTTGATGGCAAAACAAACTATGCAAGCGCATTTGGATTGTCGAGATGGTTCAAACAAGTCTATTCAAGTCTAAATCGGGCTTTGTTTGATGCACGTCAAGGATTAAATATTGATCTTATTTGAAAATTATATAAACTTAATATAAATTTATATACTCATATATTAATATTACATATATTTTTATTTATATATAAATATATAAGTTAATATATTTTTATATATTAATAATATATAATTTTCAAATTTGAATTTTAAGTATTCCCTCCATAAATTTTGCGAATTATTATGATTCAATTCAAAATTATTCACTTCCTACTTAAGCCCTACACATTAAGAATGTATTAAATCTTAATTTGGGCGATAAAAAAAAATTTGAGAATATTCGAGTCTCATGGAATGAATATAGGCCAAAGACACGAAAATTGCATGCTTTCAACGAGTACTCAAAAGTTGATAAGTTGGGAGGTTAAACACAAGAGATCAAATTCATCATTTTTAATGCAAAATCAAGACCTTTATTTGACTAATCACTACCGGACCAACAACACTCCTACAAGCCGACATAAGGTGATATCTAAGGGGTTTGAAGTGAAAGTTTTGCATGTATCTTGTCCCCAAATCTACACCACTTTTGTAATAGTTGACATAAGGCAAAATTTAAGACCCCCATATAAAAATTTTCCTGCTTAAGGGACTCTACAATTCGTCAACGAGCTCGATTGAAACCTATAGCGAACTCACTAGTTCTCACTTATAAATATAAATGTGGCAATAAAAAGAACCGGCACCAAATTTACGGTGACTCGATGGCTCGCCAATGAACTTGAATGAACCCTATGATAAAACACTAGATCAATCACCCTCATCAAATCCGCAACACTCCTACAAGCAGACATAAGGCAAAATTTAAGAGGTTCTAAGGGAATGTTTTACACATATCTCGCCACCGAATTTGCACCACTTTTAAAATAGCAAACAAAAACCAAATTTTAAGACCCCTACATAAAATATTTCATGCTCATAGAACTCGATGACTCATCAACGAGCTCAGACGAAACATGTAGTGAACTCATTAGTTCACCTAAAAAGGATGGCATTAAAATGAGCTTGTACTAGATTTACAGAGGACAATGCGACTCGTCAATGAGCTTGAATGAAGCCTGTGATGATACACTAGATCAATCGCTCGCCACCATATTCACAATGCATTTGCTAGCAAACAGATGGCAGTAAAAGTTCAAGAAGAAATTTTTGCATGCAATCCAAGTTCATCATGTCGTCACTAGATATGCACCACTGTTATAATAGCGAACATAAGTCAAGATTTAGAACCCAATTAAAAAATCTTGCATGCTCAAGAGACTCGATTATTCGTCAAACGAGCTTGAATGAAACTTGGAATGAACTCATAAATTTAGCTATAAATATAATTAAGGCATAAAAAGGAGTCTGCACAACATTTTCATAGGACTCAACGACTCATCAACGAGCTCAAATGAAACCTATGATGAAAACACTAGATCAATCAATCACCATTGGATCCATAATCCTTTTGCACTAGTGGACAGAAGGTGAAATCAAAAGCTTAAATGTGATATTTGCATATACTTTAATAATAACACATTCATCCAAATAACAATAAAACCTCCTAAAGTTTAGTTCAAATTTACAAGCCTTAAACACCCGCATATGCTCCGTCACTTGCCCCAAGTTTCTTAATTTTAAGCTTCAAAGAATGTTGCACAGGTTAATTGCATGTCTATGGTAAAACAAAATTTTCTCAAAAAATATACACGTGTTTTAAAATTCTACCAAAAAAAAATCCGTTTCAAAATTAAATTAAAATATTAAATCACACAATCTAAAATGGGCCACAGTTCCTATAGAGCAAGGTCATAAGTCTCATGCTTTAAAATAATCCCTTTCCCTAAAGGGGTTGTAGTGGAGAGGACTTAGCCCCCATTGGGTGAGTCTGATCCCCTTCCTTATAAGAAATGTAGTTGAAAGGACAAACTAATTTCGAATGTTTAAATGAACAAGCTCAATTAAATGCCAATAAAGCATTTCAACCACATTCCACTATGATGACCTTATTGATTGTGAATTTCAATGGGAGAGATTTACTTATAAAAATAAAAGTTTTAAATCACAAAAATCTATAAAATAAAATAAATAAGAGATCAAATCACTAAAAAGCAAAAAGAAAACATTTATCCACCCTCCATAACTATTTCTTGAGGTGGACAAATCTAATATTAATCTAAACACACATTGAGTAAATTTTATGTTAAGTATATTACTAAATTCGAACTCACAATATCTTTGTGCCATAAGAACCTGACCCGAATCCTTTATCCGCATGGTCTTGCTGTCAAAATGACAGGATAGCTTGTCTCCAAACGACATCATTATATTGTGGTCATTGATATAACTTGTATGTTCCTCAATGATATGTTATTCTTTTGAGTTATGAATCATATATAATTTTTGATAAAGCGTGAAATGCTCTGTTAGCTAAGGTTTACTTAGATTAATCCCCTTAAACAAATATCACCCCAAGTATGTAAGGTTTCATTAGACGAAACAACCCATGGTTGCTGACAATGATCATTATGTCTGGTTGGGTCGACTATCTCCTCTAACTAAGTAGGTCATGGTCCACTATACCTCGAGATGACATAACAATGAGATTTTGATCGACTACATCATCATTTCCCCCACCATTCACACTTAAGCTCACAATGATGATTTTATAGATTTTAAAATCTTATATCATCTGCTACTATACGCTGATCAATCAGCTCCCTAATTACTAGCCTTAATCGAAATTGCTCTCACGTTATCATGAGGGGTAATTAACCATAGATGTTTGCGACTAGACCCATACATTGAGCAGGTGGCTCAGTGGATTCGCCATAAGCCCGCTTAGAATGAGTAGGTTTAGCTATGAAAAAATAGAATGAGCTTGGCCCAGCCCAAGTATGCTTTGAATTAGTCAAATCCAGAATAAGCTTGACCCACGTCAAGCTCAACACTCCCAATGGTCAGGTTTCATAGGTATAGTTCGTGATTGCAAGCTTTCAAGGCAATTAATTTTCTCCTCCTTTCTCCTCTTTATCCGGCCATAATTTTTTTGTTTTTACATTAATACAGACCAAATCTTTCATATCAGATAAAAATTATCACTTATTAATCTTTTAACAAATGAAATACAACTTTAATGCATAGATAAGATGGCAAAATATATAAAAATTAATGTCTAGGTGTTAGATATGTAATTACATAGAACTTTATGAGTGTTATGCATGTAAATCTTCTTTTTGTCGTACTTTACATACATACATATTCAACTCCTATGTATTACATATAGAGATGCTCTCAGTTTCAAATCTGACATATTCCATGTGTATATAGCTATTAAATTCACCTAAACGTATAGGAAAAAATTTGTACATAAAAAATAAATTTAAAAATCTAGTCGTGTATCCTTCCAATCGTTGATATAAGTAATTTTTTAATATTTTAAATCAACAGTGGGATTCGAATGTAAATTGTTAATGATTTTATCAATTATTTATTGTTTAAAAATAATAATAATATATAAGCAATTAATTAACATTTTAAATTTATCCAATCGTTGATATAAGTAATTTTTTAATATTTTAAATCAACAGTGGGATTCGAATGTAAATTGTTAATGATTTTATCAATTATTTATTGTTTAAAAATAATAATAATATATAAGCAATTAACTAACATTTTAAATTTATTTTTAAAAAAAGCAATTTAGAGTCTCCTTCAAATTAAATTTAAGCAAAATTATCATGACTTAATTTTTTTTCCTAATTAGGGAAAAGAAAATGAATTTTAGTATGAATGATCACTTTTCTTTTGAGGCTTGCAGGCTAGCCCGACTCATTTAGTAGGCGGGCGTGGCTATAAAATTATAAATATAAATTGAGTTCAAACCCGGCCTGAGCCCGAATTAACTGATCAAAGCCCGAATAAGCCCAACCCACCCAATACCTAAGTGTTTTGTGGCTATGGGAAATCTCGAACCCCAGATCTTAAAGCCCGCACAAAATGAGAGTGAAATCTTTAAATATTGTCTTATCTACTATCTCATCTGACTTCTAAAAATTCAACCTGAACCTCTGGATAACTCCCTCATTTTTCTTTTTCAAGGGAGGCCGGGGCCATTTAAAATTTTTGTAGCCCACAATAACACATCAAAAATAGCAATATTACCACCTTTTAGAAGTGACATACATCTTTTCATGCATAGGCTTGAAGCACCAAAGTGCTGTGTAAATATGAAAGTTTAGACGTGAGATATGTAAATATATAACAATTGAGTACTATTTATGTAAATTACCCTTTTCCATATTGTAAGGATTCAATTGAATGTAGAGTTTCCATATTGTAAGGGTTCAATTAAATGTAGACAAGCTGTTATTAGTGGGTGCAAAATTTTATTCTTATAGATCTAAGATAACACATTTCATGGGGACTCAACCAGTTATTACAGTCTACCATACTTCTCTATAATGTCTTTGGATCTTTTTTGAAGCTCTTACTGCTATTGTAGTGCATACTAACTAAACTTGCTTCCAATACAGAAGATTCAGACTGATATATTGATGCTCTATACCCCACTAATTTGCTATTGCTCTATCTCCTATCTCAAAGGCTTTTGCTTTTCCTGGCTGATTTCAGCCAAGAGTGGGCGTTATCCTTTTTGCTGAAAACCATAGGAGCAATTCGCTTCAGACTGAATCTTGAGACCTCCGTCTACTCTTTTGCTAGATTGAATGACTTTGGATGAAAATCCCCTTTACTTCATGCTATGAAAATTGTAAGCTCATATTTTTAGTTTTTTTTATAGTGTTTTTCCCCTCATTTGCAAAAGTTCTGGTCTTTTGTTTATATTTTAGACAGCCAACAGGTCATAATACTCCAATGAGCGTCCAGCTCTTCAAATTGTAACATCTTCTTTTTCAATGAAATTGTTGAAATTGTTGAAATTGTTTGGCGCGGCGCGGCCCCTCATTACTCCCTAGAAAAAATATAATTTTCTAAACCGACTTTTTAATCGGTTTTGTATGAAGTTCAGGATATCCTAATTTACTGCCAAAAAAAGATAATTAAGAAAAAAAGACAAATAGCGGGACCAATGACAAAAATGTAGTCAGAAAAAAAGACTGTTTGTTCGGGCAATTCCTGATATGATAGATGAAGGTTGTACGGGCATTGGCTTTTCACCACAGCTGAAAATTTGCTAATTGTACTGTGCGTAAAGAGAACAGGTTCCGAATGATCACCTCACATCACTTCAAGTTGACAGTGCATTCTATAAATTTTTTTTTTGTCAGAAAAAGAAAGAAAAAAAACACAGGACTACAGGACAGAAAAAATGTCCCATACAGGGTGCAAGCAGCTGTAAGCAGCCACCATTCGATTTGGTAGGGCAGCGTTTGTTTTTGTTTCTAATATACACTTCAAAATTGATCGATGACAAAGAGTAGTTTTCATGAAGAGCATAGTTGGTGAGTATGATGGTTAAGAAAACACTAATTAGTTTGAACTGTTAATCGTTGCCTCTTTATGTAACTTGTTTGATTTATTCATTAATAATTTTTTAAGTCGATTTATAAACTAATCAAACACAAAAAAAAAATTATTTGATCATCTTCAGCTTAAATTAATTAAATAATTAAATAATTAATATTATTATAATATTTTATTGACTTTTTATAATGTATTTTAAAAAAATATAAAATTTCTTATTTTAAAATTATTCAAACTAATTCCGAGCCAAAAGCAAACCAAAACAACAAAGCAAACTCAAATCGAGCTGATCATATACATATTATTCATGAATCCTATCAAACATGAGCCTATCATAAGTACCAGGCTAATGTTTCACAACTCTACTCGTGTTTGGTTGAAAATTAAATATAGCTTGTGAATATTAGCAAAACAAACTAATATCGAATAATGTTTTTTTTTTTTTTTTGAAAAATTTATCCGACATTTTTATACGTTATAGCAGTCCGATAATTCACAAAATCATATCAGCACTCAATTGCATGCCAATAACTTCAAAACCAAAAGATAAAGAACAGAATATACCTTAAATATTTGCATTAAGTCTGACGGTTTCTTCCTGAAAATTCCGGTCTCTTGAGATCTTATCCTTTCCATAGTCTGAAAGCAGCATGATGAAGATATATTCTCAGCATGTTTGAAGAACATCTTTATATTTTTTAAGGAAATTTAAATTGAAACCAGACAATTATTGTGTATTTTCATATAGAAGACCTAAACTTTCATATTTACATTTATAACATTTTGAAGCAATAAAATTATTCATGAAAATATATATTCCACTTTTAAAAAATAGGTAATAGTGATATTTTTAATGTGATATTAAAGTTTTGAGTGCTATTTACTCGTGGGTATTCCTCCTTCGTCTTCCCTCCTTTCCTTTATAAATTTCAGAAATTTCTGAAAAAACCAATCCCACCACAGTTTTAGCATTTCTTTCGTATTGAAATCAATCTATGGTGCATATGAGTGCACTCCTCCATGGTTTCATTGTCATGTGAAACACACTTGCAAATCAATTTATTAATCTTAAAGAAAACAAGCTCAGCCCATTTATAACATAGCGTTACCAAAAGAAATTCTAGGCATATAATCAAGTATACAGTAACTTTTTCATAAAATGGTCCAGCCTAGAAATTTAGAAAATTTTACATACATACCACACAAATCTTATGTATTTACATATCTAACACCTAAAGTTTGATATTTACATTTATGACACTGGTGCCGTAAACCTATGCTTGAAAAGGTGTATTTCACTTTTAAAAGTTATTAAAGGTGATATTTTTTATGCGATGTTAAAGATTTGAGTGGCATGCATGCAAATATGAAAATTTAGGTATTAAATATGTAAATATAAAAGAATTGCGTGGTATGTATGTAAATGCCCCAAAAATTTACTTATGCCTGTGTAAGGCCAAACGCATCCCAGCAATCCTATCTACCAACCAAGCAAACCAGCAATGGGACATGTTAGGCTCATTAAGTCATCGTCCCATTGCTAGGCTCATTAAGTCATCCTTCCATGAGCATGTGCATTTGGTAGCTAAAATTATATATAAATTGCTTGTCATAGGTAAATTCAAAAATAGAAAAAATAAAAAATAGCCTCAACAACAATTAATTCACCATACTAGATCATGATATTACCTCCTCATTGTCTTGCAAAAAGATCCTTAAATCCTCACTTTGCTTGAGTACAGCATGCGACGCCACACGATTAATAAACACATCCAGAGCTTGACGCCTCATATCAATGAACTCGGCACTGAAGCGGAACTTCTCTGAGTAAAACAAAGAACCAACGCTAGTAAAAGGACATATTATTTAAAGTCATCTATCATTTAGAAAAAAAGGGGGAATATTTATACACATGCCACATAATCCTTATGTACTTACATATCTAATACCTAATCTTTGATATTTACGATTACCACACCTTGGTGTTATAAACCTATGCATGAAAAAATGTATTTCACTTTTAAAATGGTAGTAACGGTGGTATTTTTTATGTGATGTTAAAGCTTTGAATGGTATGATGCAAATATGAATGTTTAGGTGTTAAATATGTAAATGCATAAGAATTATGAAGTATGTATGTAAATGCCCCCCACCAAAAAATGTGTATGAACGAGCATAAAGACTGTGAAACACTACTTAAACAAAATTGTTTCATATTGATGTTAGTGATATTATTCTTAATCAGTAGACATCAGTATGCATGCCAAACAATTAATTTTAGAAAACAAAATTAAAAGAAAAAAAATCAATGAATGACATAAGAGTGTGTTTCTACACTGAAACATAGGACATAGAAAGAGCGATAATAATAAGCATAAACAAAAGACCACATTAAGTTTTACTGATCCAGAGAGGCCTTTCAAGAAATTCAAATACATATAGTAAAAAACATCCAAGTTTATTTGCAAAATAAATATTTGGCAATGCAAACAAGCACCATACAGAAAGAATACTCTTTAACATTTGGGAATCAAAGAAAATTGTTTTGGATGTTGAAAAGCATGCAAAATATTTTGATTGTTGTTTCTAAATAATGTTTGTAGCCATTTAATGCCCTTTCTAACTAAACTAGAAGCAACATAGTTAAAATTATGTTTTTATTATTACTTGTTTAATTTGGAATAAAAAGCAAATATTATAATTCTTTTACACATAAATGATTATTCAAAATAAAAAATTAAGCTACTACTTTCTGGAGAAATAAGAGGGGATTCCGGAAAATAATAGGAATGATTAACTATATCATATTTACTAGTGCCATATTTATTAGGTCCAATTGGTTTTTTAACATTTAATGTCCACCTTTAATTCATATGCTGACTTCAGTGATTGTTATTAGTTGTTTATTATTATTATTATTATTATTTTAATTTACTTCCACTATCGAAAATCATTTTCAATCCAGAAACCCAAGTCCATCCTTAAAAAACAACTACTAAATATTTATTTATCAAAATACATCTTTAATTGACATGTGAGACTAAAATCAATACCATCTCATGAAAACTCTAACAAATTTACCATCACTGTCCCTTAAATGTAGGCATTTTAACACCTCAACTATTATGCACCAAAAGCCCCCCTCAATGACGCAGAGCTATAATATAAGTCACGCTCTCGAATATTGCTAAATTATAATTAAAAACCACCAAGACCAATAGTAGACATAAACATGGTAAACCACCTAATCTTGATCAGATTGCTTGCAATCCATATATTAAGGAGAGTGGATTGAAGAGGGACATAGGCGGTCCGAACACACTAATAGTCAAATTCATTTTTAATCAAAATAACTAAATCTATAGGGTGAGATTTTACCACTCAAAATTTTAAAATTAAGATATTTTTAACTAAGTTGTGGTGTTGCCAAGTTGTCATCATTAGTTCAAAACCTCCAAGCTTAGAGTAAATTTTTGGGTCTTCTCCATAATTTTTTGGGCTCTCTTGAGACATTTATCTTGAATTCATTACTTCTACCGAGAACTCCCAACTCAAATGTACTTTGAGGCAAATACCCATGGCATGTTGTAAATATTGTTTAAATTGTAGAACCTAAAAGTGAATTGAAAGGTGGTTCTTCTCTTCACAACTCAAAATGTGTTGAATCCTTGTACTAAGAACTCCCAACTCTAAATACAAGTAAACTTGTAGTCCAAGTCTTTAAATGTGTTGTAAATTTTGCACTCCAATCACCACCTCAATTTGATCATAATTTTCTGGAAGATAGGTGGTTCGTCTCTTCACAATTGTATTTATCATGGCCCATAGGCCTTTCCAGAATGAGATGAGGTAACAAGAACATTTATCCAAGCTGGTTGAGCTTGATAAGCCGAAATGAGCCCAAACATTCTTAAAGAAAAGTTAGGTAACTTCCTGCAATTTTTTGCATGCAAGCCATGAGGATGATCATCTTCTAATGTTTGCCCACGAAAACAAAAAAATATCATTACAAAAATTATAGTCCAATAACAATCCTCGTGAGAAGTCCATGGAAATATTTTCCTATAACCGAGTTAGTATAAATAGAGAGTGCAATCCTTTCAAGAACTTGGCCACACTCAAATATATTCTCAACTAGTGAATATATCTTTATGGATGCTGTAGCATCTTACTTATCCAAAAGTTTTCAACCACTTTTGGAGTGTTTTTATCTCAAATTCACTTCACCTAATCTCCTCCTTAGGAGCACAGAGCTGGTTCCCCCCACAAGGCAATCCTTTTCGATGAGTGTATCCTTTTTCTTGGGCATTCTTGAAAACTACGTGGAAATCTTCATCCAACTACTAAAAGTTGATATCTTAATTTTGAAACTGTTAGAAGTTATTAGGAATTGATTTATTTCTTTTCTTGATTATTTCCTATTTTATGTATTTCCTATTTTATATATTTTCTATTTTATGTATTTTCTTTAATCTTCGTATAGTTAATAGGAATTTATTAATTGTAGTCTTGAAAATATGAGTATTATGTATTTTCTATTTTAGAATTCATGTAACATGTATTTATACTCCCTTTCATATCTATAAAATTATCATTCTCTATTCCAAAATTATACATGAAATCACAGTCTTGAAAAAACCTTAAGAGTCTCTGACGAGGAAAAGATCTCCTACAGCCGGAAACTTATTCCCTGCAACCGGCAATTTTTCCCTCCAAGAACTAGCCACCGGAACTCTCTCCCTGCAAGACACTAACCGTTGAAGCTCCTTTTCCTATGATTTCTGCAGGTCGGAACTCCTCTCCCTGCAAACCCTAGTCACCGAAACTCCTTCTTGCAGAACTAGTCATCAGAACTCTCTCCTTACAGTCCTCTAGCCGCCAGAATTCTCACTGTTGAGATAATATTTCAGCCTGATTCCAAGTTCCAAATGGAAAAAAGCTCCAAAGCCGACCGAGGCCCTCCTGATTGAGTCCTATAATAGAGGGAAGGGGAAAGCCACGACAAGCTTGGTGGCATGCTTCTGCTTTGCAGCCACGCCTGCATGTCCGGGGTTTAGATCCTTTTCGTTCTTTCAGTCAACGAGAGATTCCTGTTTTTTTATTTTTGATCGGTTCTACTCTACAACAGAGCTTTATATCCAGTTTTTTTCTTAAAATCTCTCCAATTTACCTCTACGTAAATCTAATTTGTTGTTCAACTTAGTATTTTACTTTGTAGAAACGGGAAACTTATTTCCATTCACCTTCTGTCATTTGTGTTACAGTTCGATTGATTTAGATCTGAAGCTACAGTGTAATCATGTAAGTTGCTCCACACCATGGGTCTATTGGACAATAAGCGTGGTCTTTTCATTATCCTATTACTTCTTTTCCTCTCAGTGTATGTACCATAGCTCAGGAAGCAAGAGTAGGGAGAGATGAGAATGCATCGGTGATGTCCTTAGATCGTCATACCAAAATGTTTTGATCTCAGTAAGAAGAGATGGCAAAAGTGGAGGTGTTGGCCTTCTAGTAGGGCAAGATGGTGTGGGACATTTTGATGCTTTCTTTGTTAGTCTATCCATGATCCTCGTCAGTGAGATTGGTGATGAGACATTTATTATAAGAGCTATCATGTCATGTGGCATCCAAAGTCAATAGTCATGCTTGGTGCGCTCAGTGCTCTTATTGTGATGACGGATTTGTAAATAGAATTTGGTAGCATAGTGCCAAACTTGATATCAAGGATGCATACCAACAATGTTGCCACTACGCTCTATTTGTTCTTTGGACTCCATCTTCTGTACATTGGATGGAGATTTGATTCTAAATCATCTCAGAAAAATGAAATGGAAGAAGAAGAAGAAAAACTTAAAAATAGGCAAGGAAAACCAGTGTTTCATCGTTGACTATCCAGATTTTTCACGTCTATTTTCCTAGTCATTCATTTTGACATTTATAGTTGAATGGGAGGATCGTAGCAAGGACATCCCAGCAAGTCGCTTCCAAAATTTCTTCTCATTTTCTATTTGGTCATAAGCCCAATGCATGCTTAGGGTTAGAATTCTGCAGAGCTTAATTCCTCCTGCTACAGGCCCTCCTCCGGAGCTTTTCCCTGTAGCATACTTGCAGGTGTTCTTCCTTTTTACCTGTAGGTCATACCTTGCAAATTTTCCTACTGGTGTTCTTTCTTTTTTCCTAAAAGTCATACATTGCAATTTTCCTACAGGTGTTCCTCCTTTTTTCCTTGCAGGTCATAGCTTGCCAAGTAGGTGTTATTTTTTCTTTCTTTTTACCTGCAGGCCTTACTCTGCAGCTTTCCCTGCAATTGTTCTTTCTTTTTTTTTTTACTTGCAGGCCATATCCTAGAGCTTTACTTGCAGGTCATACTCTGCAGTCATCCACCCTTGAAAGTAGGTATTAGTTCATTATAATTTCATTCAATACTTGATATCTAACAGCCACAATCCAACATTGAAACCATCATAATTGTAGATTTGCAAGGTGAACTACTAAGCTTGATGCCTTTGGTCTAACAATTCCCTGACATGTTCCTTGATTTATCCAACATCAAGTCCATGTAAATTCAAATATTGGGCAAAGTTGAATACGAGAGCTAATTGATTTCATTAGAATAGAATTTTAATGGAGTCAGTCCCGTCAACTCACAAAAAAAAGCTCTTCATGCTCATTTATCTGTTGTTACAGTTTTGGGTCTCAGTTTTTTAGCATCAAAATCACCGCTTTACCTTCATCTCAAGACTGACTCCCACTAGAGACTCTTCGGTAATAAGGCTTAAATAATAGTTAAGATTTTTGTAGATCATCAACAAAATAAAAAAGC